ACCCCGTTGCCCTAGGCCTCCTGGAGGGGTGTGGGTCGCAGGGAAGCTGCAAGTTCAAGTGTCTTGAGCAGCCTGATCACCGGTGCGGACTCTTGGGGGACCAAAGTCTTAATAATTCCAAGATGTGATCCAACCAATGGCACCTGCTGCCCATGAAGGCAGCCCTGGGCGGCAGTGGAAAGTGTTCCCGGGGTGGGGCAAGGCAGGGCTGGCCTGGTTCCCTGATGGGAGACACCAGGGGCCCTGGGGCCAGAGAGGCCTCTGCTCTGCAGAGCCTGGTGCGGAAGAGCGAACTGCACGCGGGCTCTGCAGCTCTCACGTCGGGGCCAGGACCCCATTCAGAAGAGGCAGGGTCTCTATCCCCGACTCCTGGGAGAGAAACAGGGGAGAAGCCAGGCATCTGCCAATGTCCAGGCCCGCACCACAGAAAGGCTCCTGTTCCCCCTGAAGCCAGATATCAGGGGAACCGGGAAGTCTTGCTTGGAGGCACCTAGGAGTCCTGCAAGGAGACAGCTGGCAGCCCTGGTTCCTGGATAAGCCCGGGTCCCCAGCAGCAGCACTTCCAAGTGGGGAGTGACTTTGCCACCTTTGCAGCCTCACTCAGTATCGGGTCATGTTGTGGGGCTGCGGGTGTCCCCCCCACCCAGGAGAATATCCTGGTGGTTAGGCCTGGCCGTGGCATCACAGGCCTGGGGCATCCGGTTGCCCAAGGCCTGCTGAAGGGGTGCATACTGTATATTCCAGGCTGAGGGGTTCAGAGTTGCCAGGGTCCTGTAGCAGCTCAAGGGTCCTAAATGGCAGGATCACTGGCATGGCTCTTGGAGGACCCAAGGCATCTGAACAACTCCAAGCCCTGACCTACCCAATGGGCAATATTCTCCCTGAAGGCAGAGCTCGAGGTTTGAACGGCCTAGTCAGGGCAGGGCCAGTCACGGGCTGATGAGTCCTCCAATAAGAGACAGCAGGGAGCCTGGGTTTTTGGAGGAGCCCCAGGACTCTCCATGTGGCCTCTCCCCATTCAGAAGTCCAGCCCAAACTTCTTTAAAACATGGAGCTTTCTAAGAGGACAGGCTCCACATGCAAGCACTTATCAAGCCTCCACTTGCTTCCATTTGCTACTAATTCACTGGCCAAAGCAAGTCATGCGGCCAAGCCCAGAGCCAATGCCGGTGGGACTATATCAAGGCATGAATTCCAGAAGACTGGTGCTTCAGGGACCCTCAATCTAACAGTCTGTATTAACCATTAATTATTGACTAGTATTCACAATTTTCAAAGTGTTTTCACATTTACTATCCCATTTTGTTTAACAATAACCCCGAGGAACAAAAAATGCCACCCCTATTTTACAAAGAAAGAGGCTGGGGCTCAGGAATCTGGATACTTAAAATCACACAATTAGTAAATGGTGGACTTGAGACTTGAACTCAAGTCTTATTACTGTTACCTCATAGCTACCTTTGACCAGCACAACCTGTATTTAATCTTTCCAGATTTTAAAGATTTGTTGTCAAATAAATAAGAAAATCATCCATTTTCCCCAAATACTTTTACTAGAGCTTAGATTGTTCATTTATTTATTTTTAATTGTTTTGGGGGCAATGCACCCAATTCTTAAAGACTTTGATAAACTGTAACAGAGTTATTAGCAGATCTGGCTTAGAAGGGCTACCTCTGGTGCTGTTACCATGGCAATCAATGGCCAAGGAACAGAGATCCAGGGAAACTATAACCCTCATTCCCGTGAGGAGCTGGAATCTGCAGTCAGATCCTCCCCGGATGGGGTTGTCCCCGGAGGGCCGCCCTCTGTGCTGTCCTGGTGTCTGGTTCCATACTCAGGGCCTCCAGCTTTCAGGTGACACATCTCATTAGGAACTGTGGATGGCTGGGCCTTTGATCCGTGCCCTTGGCTGGCCTTGTCACTTTCCTAGTATGGAGAGAAAGGAGAAAAACTTTAACTATAAGCCAAATACCGCAGAAACACACACACACCGTTATAGAGACGTCCCCGTAGGAAGTGCCTCCTTTAAGCAATCTCAGGCTTCACACTCATCTACCGTCTTGTGACATTATCACTTCACAGGAGCCAGGCAAATACAAAGAAGTGTCTTGGGAGTGAGGGGCAATAGACAAATAAGTCGGTCTGACCATGGGAGCTCAGGAAAATTCTAGTGCAGGAAGTTTTCGCTTAAGGTTGTTGATAGGTTCTGCAACTTTAAGCCAAACAACATGTAAGGAAACCAGTGTTACCCCCTGCTAACTGATACAAACGAGAGCTAAGTTACCGCCACCTGTCATCAGCGTTATGACTTGAGATGTCAGTACCTGAGCGACCAGCCTTCCCATCTCAGGGCTCTTGGTGTCCCCACCAGGATGTCACATACCTTATTTTGCATTCTGTAATATTCATTTAACATATACTGATATTTGGGTTGATTAAGACCAAAGAAGACAGCAACTCTCCCACCGAGGAAGTCACAGGCTGAAAGAAAGAACAGGCACTTGGGTAAAATGAATTAATAACGACAGCTGGGAGGCCGTTGGGGTGCCAAGCTTTCAACGTGCCTGCCAGTGGTCTATCGCTACACTTCACTTCGGGGCTGACAGAAGATTTCAATCGCTCTGGCCTTTCAAAAAATTCTAGGACTCAAAGGGAACCTGTTAAATCTTTTCTCTCCACGTGGGAATACACCCCAACTATTCTTTCCAGGTGACTATATCAGTAGAGGTTTTCAAAGTACTTCATCCAGGTACAGCATGGGTCCTGGGCAATCAGAATAGATGGAGCCCGTCCCCATGTGTATGTCACACTAAAAGTTCCACCCGGTGTTAGCAAGACCCGTGTCGGGAATTCTTCCAAGCATCAAGACACTCCTTCTTAGCAGCAGTTTTAGGCCTTCCTTGTCTGCCGGCAAGCAGGGTAGCAAGGTAGCAAGTGGGCCCAGCACTGTGATTATTAGATTAGAGTTAGAGTTAAGGTTAAGCATGAAGCATCCAAGTCAATCGTCCCTCTGCTCTTCCTACGCCAGCAATTGTGACAACCAATTAAAATTAACGGTATGTTTACTGGCCTATATTATCCATTCAATATCGAGTCCCTTGAAAGCCAACTGTCATTCGTCTCTGTGCCCCAGGGCCCAGCACGGAACCAAGCGCATATCGGTGGTCAATAAATGTTTACTTAATGAATGAATGATCAGTCAGTTTCTAAGAGCTGTATTTTATAATTTCTCAGGTTTTTAAGGTTGCTTTCCTCCCTGTGGGCTGCACGAACATCTGCACGTTAGAAGGAAATGAGTAATTAGATGTCAATTGTGTTTTAAGGAAAACCAGCGAAAATCAAGCACAATAAAACTCTTAGGCAACTCATGATGCTCTGGGAGGGGTCACTAATGTTGTTTATAATAGAGTGATTATGACTGACCAGGGAACGTGGACTCTGTCACATAACAATCATTTTTTAAAACTTGCGAGTTTATTCAGGTGAAGTTAACTGAGGGAAGACTGGCTATTGGCTTCAAATACTTGAAACTCTGTCCCTTGAAAGAGGAATCTAGACTGCTTTTGTATGGCCTTAAGAAAGACAAGTAGAACCAATGGGAGAAACGTTAAAAGAAGACAAAATATGAGACAGAATTGACTAACAAGAGCTGGAAAAGATGGAAAAGTCTGCCTGAAGATGTGAGGTTCCATGAGGTCCCACGCCTTGAGCAATGGTCAAGCATGGATCTAGAAGAGACCAGACCATCAGAATGCCGTGAAGTGAATTAAACCACTGGAAGTCCATCTAACTCTGAGGATCTATAAGTCTATATAGAAAAAAATGAAACAAAATTTTTTAAAAAGCAATCACAAAAAAGAGAGAGAAAAAACAGAAAAAAATAACCTTCGCAGTACATACTTACCAGAAAATGACAAACTTGCTATTCGCCCTGCCCAAAACCACAGGTAGGGCCCCCATGAGAGTTTAGACTGGAAAAAAAAAAGAGAGAAATCGAGTGAGAGTAATAACCAGTATAATGACTAGAGTCTTTCATGGAGAGGCTTCAAAATGCTTTATAATATGTTGCATTTTCTAACAGATGAGAAAACTAAGATGATAAAAACTATGATTTGGCCCAGCCGGGCGTGGCTCAGCGGTTGAGCGTCGACCTAGGACCCAGGAGATCCAGTTTCCATTCCCGGTCAGGGCTCAGGCCCGGGTTGCGGGTTCGATCCCCAGTCAGGGGTGTGCAAGAGGCAGCTGATCCATGACTCTCATCATTGATGTTCCTCTCTCCCTCTCCCTTCCTCTCTCTGAAATCAATAAAGACATTTTTAAAAAATAAATAAATAATTATGAGTTGACTATACATGTATCTAGATGTAGAACCAAGGAGTTGGCTTAAAACTGTATTTTCTACAAACCCTGTCCGGCGTCATCCCTCATTCACTCAGCCCCACGCTCACTGCTACTGACATTCTGAGCTTACGGGGTCGAGGGTTGGACTCGTCCTATGTCCTTCCCCCTCCTCTTCCTCGGTGCTATATTCCTCCATGACGTCTCCATCAACAAAATGGATCATTCTTTTGGGAGCAGGCCTCTTGGGAGGTCTGCTCTTCTCCAGTTCTGCCTGCTGGAAACTGCTTTTTTCCATGAGGAAACAGAACAGCCAGTGCATTAAAAAAACAGGGCAAGTCGCTCAGGGCAGTGTTTCTGTAGCTGAGAGGTGACAGAGTTCAGATGTAATCAGAGCAGTGATCTCCTCAATTCTTCAAATCCAAGAGAAGACCGGTCATTTCTGTACCAAAATGGAAAAGATTCGCTTAGTAGTGGAAGTGTGAACTTTGGATCTTCAAACAAAAATTTTCAACAGGGTTCTCTTACCCCGTGTTAATTGTAAAACCCACAACTGCTGGTAGGAAGGAAGGGAAGGGAGGGAGGGAGGGTTTGAAGCACAACAATATTCTAAGAATAATACTATTGCAGAAGTAAATATTATCATGAGATAATGTTGTTATAAATATAACATATTTATAAATATTATATTGCCACGGGAAGGAAAGGAACCCAAGGAAAAGAAAAATGCATTCAAAAAGCAACTCACCCGCAGAATCCCTTTGCCTTTCCAGTCATCGCTTTAATTAGCTATGGTTGTCTTGAAAGTAGTGCAAAATCTGGGGCTAGAAGGTGCTCGCTGAGTGATAGTTTCTATAAAGCTCGGCTGTGGCTGTGCAGGGCCCTGGATGGAGCCTGCTGACGTGGGCCGGCTCTCCCGGGGGTGGCTTCCAGGGTGGCCGGTGTTTGACTTGTGGGAGAGTCGGTTCTATTTGCACATCCTGCTTGAAGTAAGCCCAGTGGCCCTCAGGCTTGTCTTCAGATTAGAATGATCTGAGGCCTTTTTAAAAATGTCCAAGGCCACTTCGATCACCGTCCCTAAGGGTGGGGCCCCGGGCACTGGTTGCTTTTGAAGCCGCCCAGGGGATTTCGTGTGCAGGCGAGTTTGGGGACCACTTTAGACTTAACTTCTAAACTGAAATAGACTTGTGACTTGGTGCTTTATTATTTTTTTTCAAGAGGGTTTTTTGCTTTCTGCTTTCTGAGCCTTCCTCCCCCGCTTTCCCCAAGATAAAAATCTTAAATATCAAAAGTTGATGAAAAGGGCCTAGCAGTCTCATGGGTTTACTCCTCTCGAGACCATCCCCCAATACACATATTTCCAAACCAGTGAAGTACCCTGTACCCCAGACGCCTGGCTCACCCTGTTATCTTACAGGCTAATGGTAGCTGTGGGATCTCGGGAGAAAATACCAGTTGTGCACTGAGACATGTACATCTTTTAATTCAGATGGGCTCTTAAGCAAAGGGTAGGATGCTAGAGGGAGAGACTGATGCTCCTGCAGTCGGTTTAGTGGATGTTTTCTGTCACCTAGTGGACATTTTAGGATGTGCTATGCAAAAGTCGCCTTCGTAATCGCTGTGCCTGTGACACAGAGGGGGCTCCGTGCTGAATAGTGTGGAATCTACCTATTTTTGTTGACTAAAACCTGGGGAGCGTTGTCAGCTTCACACCAAGTGCCTAGATATGGATGTTTTGAAGCGATCTTTCAAAGGACCTACAACGTGCTTCATTTCTTATGAGCACCTCTTCTCGTTTCTTAAAAGCCTCAAATGTAGTTTGTCCAGGATTGTTCCTAAGGGTGTGATGCAGTTAGCAGACTGTAGCATCTCCCTGACCTTTCTGGGCTCAGGGCTCAGTGGTCGGATCTCTTTTTTTATCTACTGCCTCGATGGCCTTATTTATAGCTTTAAATACCATCTACATACACATTCGTGTGNCCTGACCTTTCTGGGCTCAGGGCTCAGTGGTCGGATCTCTTTTTTTATCTACTGCCTCGATGGCCTTATTTATAGCTTTAAATACCATCTACATACACATTCATATAGGACATTTTTATCTCCAGGGCAGACTTTCCCGCTGCATCTCAGATGCACAGATTCCACCCTCTGCTCAGCGCCTCTTCTTGGGTGTCTAACAGACAATGTCAGTCCTACCGGGTCTAAGTCTCTGCTGAATTCTCAGGGCCCTTCTGCCTCTTCCCTCCGGAGGGGAAGGGCTTTTCCCCGTGTGCTCCTAGCTCCTATCTCCCCCCCCTACAATGCCTGGCACATTGCTGGAACTCGGTATTTGTTTAATAAATGAATCATACATTGAGTTCACTTTAACGGGTGGGGGAAGGTACTATATAATCGATTAGAAAAATAAGGAGAGAACAGGCTTGTAGTTTTATTTCCTGATGTTAAAACGGCCACCTTTGAATATACTTCATTCCTCTTACACACTAATCATTTCATTTTAATTAACTCCTTCACTGAAACACGGCATTGTGATCTGTACCCACAAAGTAACACACTAGTTCTAGATCCTGACATTTAACTTCAGGAAGGTTGTACCTGCGATTTCAGNACGGCATTGTGATCTGTACCCACAAAGTAACACACTAGTTCTAGATCCTGGCATTTAACTTCAGGAAGGTTGTACCTGCGATTTCAGAGAGTTCTTTCAGTTTCCATGAATCAAAAAATGGTTCAAATGCACCAGGTTAAAATGCAGCGAAGAGCTGACCTAAGAATTCACCTGGGCCTCTGCTGGCGGGTCCTCCCAGCTTCCACCCTCTCTCTCCCCCCCGGGGGTCTAAGCCTCCGGCCTCCGGGGAGAGCAGCGATGGGACATCTGAAGATGGGCCACCTGAAGCCCCATCGTGCAGTATCCACTAACATTGCCACTGCAGTTTACTTTTAGGCACATATTAAAAGATAAGGAGTATTTTCTTAAAGCATGGTTAGTCTGGAGAGTAAGGAAATCTCTCCGAATATGGTTTTATTTCTGAGTATGTTTATGTAACACTGAGAATGCCACCTCGTTTCCAAAGTACAAAGTTTTCTCCCGAGTGCTATACAGTGATAAGCTCTCTGGGAGTTCACCGCAGCCCACAGCACCGATCACAGTGGGTAAATACTAGAGTAAGGTATGCACAGGCCAATCGAAATCCTATTTTGAGATTAGGAGATGATAAAAACCAATAAACAGAAACCAAATAGGTCAGGGCGTGTTGAACAGTTAATGAACTCACGTAGCATAAAACAACTGAAACACACGGACCGGTCACCTTGCAATGTTGCTGAGAAAAATTATGATTTCACGTTGTATTACCTCTGTTACTGGCTTAATAAATGTAAAAATACTTATAGAAAAGCAAATAAAAATCCCAATAAAGCTGTAAAATTACTTTTATTTTCATAAATAAAAAGAATTCGTTATACAAATGCTTTTAGTAGAATGTTAGCTGTCACCATATTTTCATTGAAGTATGAAATGTACACAATAGTTAATGCAAGCAGTTACCTCTCTCTAGGCTTTCATGCAACTTCTTTACATCTCAACTCCCCCAAATTTCCAACACTACTTCAAAGAACATGAGAAATGGGATATTTTAGTCACAAGCATCACCTTTGCTGAGTCAACAGAATATTTATTTGCTTATGTAGAAGTTGCCAATTAGGGACTAAAATGCCAGTATTCACTGCATTTTACAGAAGCACCAAGCATATTACGTTTTCATTCCATATGTGGTTGTCTGACCCGCAACTATGTCAATGTGAGAATTTAGCCACTTGGTTAATAAGCCCTAGTACCCACGATAAACAGATCCTACAGGCTGCGAGCAATAAGCTGTCATCAGTACTGTTAAAATTTTGCCAGTTAATGGCATTCAGCAAACAGACAAGTGATTTTGTAATCAAAATGCGGCGAAAGTTAATTATTTTTCCTATAGACAGCAAAATAAAATTAAATGTCTGTTCAGTTATTACTCCATTTATTCTGGAAACTGCTTCAAACAGTCAATCTTTTATAGCAAGGAGCATTTCCATATATTATTTTCGGTAGCATTTCCACATATTTTTACAAAACACTGATTCTATGCAGCTTTTTTCAAGAGTGTAAATGATGCTTTAAGTAATCATTTATTTGAATATGATGTTGATCCAGACAGGCGTAATCTATTTATTCTTCATAATGAAATGTTTACTCCTATTTCAACAGTCTAAGCATATTTTTCAGAGCTGCTGCATGGATTCAAGGGTTTATCTGTGTAAGTGCTCAGTGCAGAGCCCGGCTTGTGGTAAGCTCTCAAGATGCACTGCTCTTATTATTTTATTAAGTGAACCAGTCCGTTTATAACAGGAAAGTTAGCTGAACACCCCCAGATAATCATCAAAAGATAAACCTACAGGTGTGACTCTAGTTAACGTATATGCATCCCCTACGTCCCAAGCCTGTGCCTACAGGAAACTAGCTGTTTCAAATATTACAAGCTATTTTTAAGATCATACTGTGTCTGTCTGCTCTACTGAGTTTCTGCTCTGGTCTTTGGCCTAAAGCAATATGGTTCTGACAGAACATGTGTATTAGAATCTAAACCATATAAAAACAAGGTACACGGAAATCGGATAACAAAGCATTTTACTCTAACTTCCCTAACAAAGAAGTGGAGTTACAGTGTAATTCAGGACAACCCATCTCCTTCAGGCTTCAAGGTATTCGTGACATCATGCAACAGCCGACATCTTCAAAAACCTTCTCATTCTGTCTCCCCTCGCACAGAAACATTACTCGCTGTAACATTACTACCCAGAGCTCGGGGAAAAAACAAAACTAAAAACTAAACCTCAGAAACACTCTTAAGAGGCAGAATGAAGTCTTTCCCATGTTGTCCTGGTTAAAAAGGAGTGTGGAACAAAGCATGGAACCTGTCCAGTATATTAAAAATCTACAGCAGCTAAATGAGGCAGATTCCCTCTGAATGTACAAGTTATTCTACAGGCTTCAGAGAAATTGTTTCAAGAATGTGGGCGGAAGGCCCAGGGTCTTCTCATCCACCAGCAGAGCAGCTCCAAGCGCACACTGTGTTGGTGTTTTAGGAGACGGAGCACCCAGTGTCCTTCTGAGGTTTAAGGTCTGGTTCCTTCACAGGCTTCACGTCTTCTGGTTTGGGTTTGGTCTGGGGAGAAAGAATATAATGATGTAAGAACTTAGGCCAAGATTCAGAAAACAAACATTAGACTTTTTTCATTCTTAAAAGAAGACTATTAAAAGATGACTTAAAGATGCTGCATTAAATTCTACAATACTGAGCTGAACAAAGCTGTTCTGAAAGCTACACATCAATTCGATTTAAGACATTATGGGAAAGCGACACTGGTGAGGATGGAAACCTAGGGGGAGGCAGAAATCAGGCCCGTGCTCCTCTCACTATGGCTGAGGAAGGAGAGACCAAGGATGTACATGCACAAGGAGCCTTTAAGCTTGGAAATCTCTCATGAGAGTAACAGGCTGCCTCATAGGGCATTATTCTGGAGGCTGACCAGGATACAAAGATGGCTATTTTAAGGAATCATGGTTTTAGCATGGGTAGGGAATTATGTAAAAACCACCCAGTTTCAAGGGTGGATTAATTCCCACTCCCTTTTTTTCAGAGCCCTCACTCTTTTGAAAGTCAAACCTCAATACTTCCACTTAACCTACCCTTTCATTGAATACAGCAAGGACTTAGAAATGAACACAAGCAGTCTTATTTTACCGCGGATGACTCCACGGAATGTTGAAATTAGGTCAAAGTTTTCGTTACCCAGCACTAGGCTAAATTAAAAAACAGAGAGCATCGCTATAGCAACAGAGACATGGATGAGCCACCTTCCTCACACCTGCTCTCACACTCTTCTCACAGGAGGCTCTGACAAACTGGAAAAGAGGCAAGACACTGTGTTGAACACAGGTCAGTCAATTAGGGAGAAAATCAGGAGACAGTGAAGGCCTAGAGGTCTGATCTCTGAGAGTTCTACAGCACATCTCGCCAAGCACCGCAGTAAGCTAATTTAACATTTGGACAAACATATATATCTACTTATACAGAGAACAGTATCAAAATGCTGTAACTCTGAATTCTTTCTAAACGTTTGTGAAGGAATGAAAACGCCATCTCGTACGCTGTCCTCCTTGGGTCTTTTGGTGAGGTCAAAGGCAGCCAGCGTGTCTGGGGTCCAGTGCGCACTTGTGGGAGGAAATTCGAAAGGTACAGGCTCCACGAGGCCATAATTTGCTTTGAGTTCCAGTTGTGGAGCTTCTGTTGGAATTTTTTGAAAGTAGCTGCAAAAAGCCATTTAAAGAACAATTCATTAATTCATTCATTAGCTATTTGAGCACCTATTATGTTCAAGACCCTGTGCAACCTGCTTCATGTAGCTTACAGAGGAGTAGATGACGGTCCAGAAAACTTGCCAACTACAGCGCAGTGTGACCGAAGTGATGAAGATGTAGAGGAACCATGAGAACACAAGAGAGGGGCAGTTAACCCAGGTCTGGGGTTCGGGGATGCTTTCCACAGCCAGTGCAGAAGTTAAACTAGGTATGTTCTAGGGAGTGGGAGCACTCAGCAGGACCAGATGCAGACTATCAGGAGAAGAATGGCAGAGATCAAAGCAGGGACACACTGGGGCTAATGTGGCAGCCCGCTGTTGAAAAGCTGTTGTTTTCATAATATATTTGCTATTGGATATTTACAGAACCTATGTGAAAGAAATGGTGAAACGAGACTGAGGGTCGAAAAGAGAGCTCTCAGTACCTGAAGAGCCCCACTATCCCGCGTGGGAGGCACCACAATCAGGGCTGTGGGCTTATCCTCTTTGCACTTCTCTCTCTGGTTTTTCCACATTCAGCACAGTCTTCTCCTAGTTCCGATGATCTCATCATTTTTAAATGGGAACTTTAAAAATCTTCAAAAAAACTATCTACCAACCGACACAAGTGGTGATCTACAATTTGATCAATGCTGATTAATAACAAAACTGACAGAAAATTAATTTCCCTGCTTTACAGGCGGCTGAAACCAGAGTGAGATGAATATGCAAAGGGAGTTGAGAAAATATATGTGTGCGTGTGTGTGTATATGCACACATATATATACATACACATATATAAGTAGAACATATGGAGAAAGAATGGCAGGGAAACAGAAAATCTGGACAGTATAAGGGAGCTATATGTTAACAATTAATGTTTAAATTTTAAAATCTGCTTTTATGTATCATCAGAGCCAGAAAAAGCATGAAGTCCAACCCAAGTGAACTTTACTACCAATTTAAAGAGAAGATGAATGCTCACCTTAATGGCAATCTGACATGAAATCTTTGGAAACAGATCAATGCACACAGCCCACCCTCTCACCCGTGTACCCCCAACCGTGGATCGAAGTTACAGGTATTTGCCAAAAGAAACCTGCGTGTAAGTGGAACCAAGCAGTTCGCACCAGTGTGTTTCAAGAGTCAACTGTACACTATTATTGCGATTACCAAGGTACTGCTGAGCTGTACTCACATGAACCCGTTCTCTCTCTGACATTTTTCCAGGGTGTTCTTCACGAGGTTTCCAAGCTTCCTGAAGAACAGGTGTCCTGACGGCTTGACAGTTGGTCCAGGGCCCTGGGTCTCCCCATATTCTTTGCATAGAGCTTCTGCCTTTGCGTACACTGCGTGCGAAAGGGACAGAAAGTCATTTGGCTGTAACGCGTTATTGATCGTTTATACTAACAAGCCTGTGAATCCGAGGTGGCAGGGAATTTTCCTGCTCTTTCCCTAGTGTGACAGCACCACCAGCCACAGTGCGAGGGGAGGGGGGGTCCTCTCTAGGTATAGAGTCTAGGTTTCTAAGGCATTTTTTCTTTTCCCTAATTCCCATCTCCTTTCAGGACCTCAGCCAAAATCTCTTTCAACTGCCTCTCCCCTTTATGATAAAACATTTGTTTTTAAGGAGGGAGTTAATGTTCTGGCAGGAATACTTACATTTTTCTGCTTCTTGGAGAGACCTGATTGCTTCACCACATTTATCACTGGCCAACAAAGTCTGACCGTGGTAACAGTAAGCCTGACAAAAGACACACATTTTTATTCATTCTCTCCACAAAGATGCTTTCTACTACCTTTGTTTTAACTGTGCATCAGATAAGTCATTGCCTTTGTCCACTGTTTGAAGTACCAATGCAAACCCTTACACTTATTTAATTGAATAAGCTCCCCCCCCCATCTCTGTTAGTATCAAAAGTGGAAATTATGTCAAACCTTTGAACCAAAGTAGTCTTTTTAACCATGGGCCGAGAGCAAAAAACATCTGCTGAGACCTGTTTCTAAAACTAGGGCATTGTGGGTAAAGGAGGGAAACCACTGTGCTGAGGGAGAGGGAGAGGGAGAGGGGACTGAGGTTAATTTCAGAGAGGAAGAGAGAGAAACACTGACCTGCTGCCTCCCGTACGTGCCCAGATCAGGGACAGAACCCGCAACATTTCCACATACGGATGATGCTCCAACCCACCAAGCCACAACGGCCAGGGCAGTGCTCGGTGGGTGCAGAGGCAAAAAAGGCACTTCCAAAAAAGGGCTTATTAATGGTTCTTCACCAACACGGGTGACACAGTGCATGGCACGATTTAAGATCAGAATTAGTAACACTCTCTGCAGGACGAAATGGGAGGACTCTCAGGCTCAGAAGGTGCCAGCTAAACTGGGTTTAAGTGGAACGTAACTCCATCGCTAGGATCAGGTTCCAAGTCCTCTGTCATCTCTTCCTACCCACTTTGGTTCACAGTGGTGGCTGTGCGGATGGCCGGTGAGCATCCACTGAGAACTGTCCACTACTTGTAAAACGCTAATTAAGGGTCTGGAGAGATGACACACCTGCCACTCAGGCTGGAAAGACCGTAATTTACACTGTTTTTGGGTTATAAATACTTACATAAGCCGTGTAGAAGCACATTTTCAAAAGAAGGTATTTTCTCCATTTAGCAGAGTACGCAGGCTCCAAACTGGATAAAGTATGATCTAAGGTTACATTTTAAAAAGCAAAATATCATTTCACCCTGATTCACTAGAAGACTTTCAGTTCACATGTTCAGATGCTAAAAGCAGAATGCCATTCAAGTCTCAAACTCAGGTATTTACACATTTTTTAAATACCTCGATTTATTTAAAGTGATTTATTTTTCTAATAACTAGGTTTTAACTACATAATAAGACTGGGTATTTGATGGTTAGTATACTATTATATTACCTATTTTTTAAAAGAATTTATATAACAATGCAAAGAGCAGTCTGGTAACCCAAGTTGCGAAGGCCACTAACTCCCCTTCACTGCCCCATCACCGAATCTCACATGCAACACACACACACACGTCCTGCCATGCATCTCTCAAGTCTGTTTCTTCCTCTCCATTTCCCGCTTTGCTGTCTTTCTCAAAGCTTTCATCACTTTCTCCTTACACTAAACCACTTCTTCCTAAGTGCTAAGTAGAGTCAGCCGGCCATTCCTTCACCTACCACGCCCATTTCTCATCTTGCAACCATAGGGACCTTTTTAAAACTCAAATCCAATCAAGTCAGATTTACTTGGTATCTTTTAATGGGTCCCAAGCATCTACTGAGTAACGGCCGAACTTCTTAGATGGGCTTGCAAACCAATTCACGATCTCACACATGCATTACTTCCCTAACCTTTCCTGTCACTCACCCGTGTTTTAGCCAAGAGCACCTGTCCAAAGGTCCCATAAAGAGCTAAGTTCCTTCTTATCTCTACATACTACAGAATGTTCTCTTCTTATACACTAAAGCTTCCTAGCAAACTTAGAACTTCTGTTTATATTTCAAAATAAGGCTGAAACCCCGTTCCTGTCAGAAGCTTGCTCTAGCATCCCCAGATCCTTTAGGTGTTTATTTCACTGCTGCAACATCTTATTTTGTGCCATAATAATGTATTTGTCTCCTTCCCTAGACTGTGAACCTGTTCCACTGACCTTTGTATACTCAGCAACTGAAATAGTAGCCATCCCATAAACAGAAACATGTATGTGCTTCCTAAGTGAATGAAAAGAAAAACAGGCTAACCTGAAGACCAGAGCTCTAGTCCTAACTTCCCACCTGCTAGCAGTTAAGCTATCGATCAGTTATGCTAATCTCTGGATTTCAGTTTCTTGTCTAAGGATAGTAGTAACTATAAGGTTGTTATAAAGACCAACAAATTTTCAAAAGCAAAACAGCTGTATAATTATTAGACATACCTGGCTAAAAAAAAATAGTATCGTCATTTCCATTAGAAGCTATATAGCAATATTAACTGTGAACAACTCTAATTCTTTTATTTTCTTTTAAACAAAATTCATAAAAATAATGCAGATACTATTCCAGTTTTGCAAATAGTGAAAAATCTGAGAATCTTTTTGACTTGCCTGTTCCCTATTTAGCCCAGAGGTTAATCTGAAAATCTAAAGACTAAAAACATAACAATGGAATTATAAACATACCTGCTTTCTGATAGAAATTGGCTGTTTCATAGGCCAGTGCAGCTATCAGTCCAGGAGCATGCTTTAGCTCGATTGCTCGAGCAATTGTTACTGAGGCGAAAACACAATAAAATGAATCTAAGTTCAATTACAATAGCAAAAGACAGCAGAGAGTCTATTTGGGGTTTTAATAGTTAAAAGTTTTAACATGAAAAGCTATAGAAAATTCAAACACAAACTGAGCTTGTTGGTTCTGATATAATTTCTTTATATAAATCACTAGCCAATTACCAGCTAATCACAGAAAATCACTACTGTAAAATAGCACAATGTAAGAGGAAACAAATACTTTCAGCACACTGGAATCTGAAATAAAGCAAAACAAAAGCCTACAAGCTTTATTGTTTTCACCTAAGCCTTCATTTATTTCCTGCATTAAAAGGGGAAGATTTTAAAGCAAGCCAAGTAGTGGAGGGAGGAAAGGGCTAAGCAAGGTCAAGCGGGACGAGATGAGTTACAGATTTAATTTTATGCTGTGAAAAACAGCATGAAATCTAATCCTCTTAAAGAGAGCCATGAAATGGCGAAGCCTTTTCCTGCTAACTAAAAATGAAGGCAAATGCTAAAGGGAAAATTATTCAAAACCTGAAACTCCATTCCAGCTAATTCTGATTTTTAAAAAAAGAGTGTTTCTTTGGCCCTGGCCGGGTAGCTCAGTTGGTTGGAGCACCATCCCCATGTGCTAAGGCTGAAGGTTCGATCCCCGGTCAGGACACATACAGGCAAACAATGAATATATAAGTAAGTGGAACGAGTCAATGTTTCTCTCTCTCTACAATCAATCAATAAAATAAAAAAAATTTTTAAATGCCAATACAGACTTTCCTCAAAAAGAAAATCTTAGGATACCTTCTTGAGCTTCAGCCTGACACTGGATAATATAAGCTTCTATGAGCCGTGCTTCCAAATCTCTCCCCTTCTCTGCAGGTGTGATAAGCCTTGGGATGTGACTTTCCTGAAAGAGAAAGAAGAAAATAAAAAGCCAAATTTATTTTAACCCAGTTGTGAAAGATGAAGCCAATGGAAGCCAAGACATTCCTTTTAGGGATTTATCAGAAACTTAGGGCACTAACACAAAAATGTGGGGGGAAAGAGCAATACTAAGCTTACAGAGAATAAAAGCTCCTAAAACTTGTAAAGCTTTTATAAGCTTTTGTAATAATAAGAAATTCAAGAGCAAAATGTGGGTCATGATAGATTAGCCAACAGCGAGTCATGTTTCCACCTTAGAAAGTGTTCAACTGAACAGTAACCAAGTTCCCTTTGGCAGGGCAGCCATCGTGTTCATTCACATTAGTAACTAGATATAAAGGCAACTACAATTCTATAGCTACCTCAGGACCACAGCTTTTTAACCACTGTAAAATCATCTTATTTTATCACAAGAAAACCCAACACTGGTCTCCAGGACATAGTGACTTAGTTAGAAGGAAGTGGGAGTAATTCTGATTGGACATATATTAATCTTTCCCCTAACTCCCATCCTATCTTCAAGCAACTTAGTATAATTAGTGTGTATTGATCGCCCTCCAGTGTCCTCACTGAGATACAGAGAAAACACTCGGCAGCTCAGTGCAGAACCACGACTGCTCCTGGCCGCTGCTGCAGACAGAGGAGAAGTGCTAAGAACCAGCGTCATGGTGCTTTGGTTTCTGCCTTTTCAGAAGAGACAGAAAAATAAGCAGTGACTTATAACGTGAATTTTCTCACTGTAAAATTCACCGGGGATTGTCTAAAACGGCAACAGTACTATTCCATAGCTGGCTGCACTTGTCGACAAGGCACTCAGCATAAGGACACCAGCACACACAGTAGCACTTTTTACATAAATGAATAATGCTCTCCTCGCCCCCACCCCCCAGGTAAATGAAAATTATTCCAGAAGGAAAGCGAGAAAGAGATTTGATTACTTTACCTTTAAATGTTTAAAAATCCCGGCTGCAACCTTCAGGCTTCGATGGACCTCTTTCGCTTCTTCTTCTGTTACGCTGGAAGACGGCAGCCACGTTACTCAGGGGTCAATCCGTTGCTGGCATTAAAACCAACAACTAGCAGTTTATTACAAAACCGAGTGAGTCCTTCGTGTGTGTGACTCACCACCAGTTCTCTTCCCGTCAGAAACTCTAATTTGACACTTAACACACGCACGTGGGAAATACCCAGAGAAGAAACTACACGTGACAACAGAGACCCTGTCTAAAGGCTTTTCCTTCTAGATAATGTTCTGTGATAAACCGGCACCGAACACTGTGCTCTCACTGCACACACACTCTGAAAGCACGTAAATACCCAGTCTCACTATTCTGCTCATGTCAATCACTTAAATTACCTTAGCGGTAATTTTACATCAGCCCACACAATTCAACTTCTCTTTTATTTTTTATTACACTTCTTGGTGTGACACTGGTTAACAAAATTATGTTCCAGGTGTCTGATTCTTCAACACATCGTCTGTGTGCTGTATTGTGTTCTCCGCCCCGAGCCACATCCTCTTGCAGAACCATCCTTCTCAATGCCGCACGTTATTCCCACGCTCAGAGGCACCGGAACTGCCAGTGGGTTTCATATTGTCAATATCTACTTTCACTATTGTAAGAACTGTATCTCATTTTACTTCACAATTCTGTGATCTTTTCATTTGATCACTTGATTGACTGGTCTTTCCCTGGTTGATTTGTAAAAATGATTTCTAATATGCATTGCACTTTTTTGACCCATCTGTCATTTTTAAAATTCTGTTTATGGTACACTTACATAGTCAAATATTCAACCTTTTCCTTTTCTTGGGTTAGGGTTTATTTAGAAAGACCTTCCCCATGACAAGATTATTAATTTGTTTTCCTTTTGACACTGAGCTCCATAATTCTGATAATACACTAACATTATGAGGCAACCTTTCACTATCAGAGTGGTACTTTTTATCAATAGCCTAGACTTTTTAATAACAAAGCTCCACATACTGGAAAAATAACACATATGCATATAAACCATTCCCTTTTAACTTACTTTTCTTTTCCGGCCAGTCTTGAGGCGTACTTGGTGTACCATAAAGCTACATTAAATCCCATGGAAATTAATTCAAAAACAGCATCCTGCTGGGCACTAGAATCATAAACATGACTGTTAAATTCTGTCCATTAAGACATTTCTACATGAGGCCTACTGTACATCCAACTCAAAATTATAGAGAACTATGTTTTACCTGAAAAATGAAGAAAGAGTCCTTGTGTTTAACATAGATGGGGATATAAGGCACGTGATTAACAATGAATAAAATGTATGTCCCTCCTAATAGTAAGCATGAGACTAGTAGTTGTTGCCAGAGGTTACCGTACACAGAGTAGCTTTAAAAACACAGATTTCTGGGACTTAACCCCAGAGAGGCAGGAAGGCTGGCAGCAGCCCAAGATCTGCATTTTTAACAAGTACCCAGTCGATTCTGGAGCCAGTGGTTCTTACACCACATTTTAAGCAAATGGAATTCAGAGGAGAGATCGTTTCAGGCTAGAATAACTAAAGGAGGCTTAATGGTGTTTATAGAATCTGAACTGTGCCCTGAAAGATGGCTGGAAGGGAAGCAGAGGGCATCCCGGGTGAGGGAACAAAGCTGCTAAAGCACAAGAAGGTATGAAGGTTTTTCTGACAGTAGAGACCCAACTAGCTTGACTGGAGTAGGTGGTTCACAGAAGAAATCGAGGAACAGAGGCAAAAAGCCAGGCTGAAAAGAAACTGAAGAAGATGCTGAGCTAAGCCAATCAGCAAACTACAAAGAAACGGTCTTAAAATCAAGTATATTTTACATCTTGTTTCCTTCAGATTCTATTACTAAATATGACACAAAGATGGCAAAAGCTTACTAAGCAAGTAAGATAATACTAATTTTTAATCACTAGACATCTTCTAAGACCCTGAAAATTCCTTATACATTATCTCATTTATCTCAAATGAGGAAGGAAACAGAATACCCTTATTTTACACACACAATATTAAGATAAAGAAAAATTACCCGAAGGGAAGAAAGTAGAATCATGATTCTACTTTGTTGTCTACGCCTTAAAAGGAATGGAGACATGGAAAGTTTTTTAGATTAAAAACGAACAAACAAAAAGGTTTGTTATAAAACATATGGTAATTCAAAAATAGCATGAACTACTGTTTAATATGTTACAAGATACAAAAATACGACAGTTACGAACAAACTACCCTGCTGAAATAAATGTAATGTAGTTTAGTAGCTTATTCTTTTCAGCATTGAGATCTTTTGAATGAATTGCATCTAGTAGGCATCTCTAATTTATAACTTTACTTTTAAATAAGATAGTTTTGCTCACTTATAGTCTCATGAATAACTCCCCTTTCCCCCTTTATTTCAATCTGCCTCACTCCCAAACATTCCACTTTTAATGTACCACATCTAGGTAGCAGAAAGAAAAGGAGGGGGAAAACCAAATTCTGCTCTGCGTGAATGGAGGCAAAGCCCGAAAGCCAGCTCTGGGTTCCAAATTCCCAAACCACTCTGTGTGTTATTAAAAGTTAAGGCTGTTCGAGTCTAGTTAACATGTGTACTGATTTTCCAAAAAACAGATTTGGTCCAGGAGAAACATGATATTTTTACTTAATAGACTATATTAGGAACTTAGGTGAAATTTTAAAAATTAATTTCCTGATAAGAGAAAACGCTTAATCAGATCTATATTTTATGTCTTCAAATACCAGGGCTCTGAGTTAACCACTGGCTACATAGTTACAAAAAATGGTTTTGATTTAGTGCTGTTAGCAGCTGCTCACCTTGGAACCTGTCCTTGTAATGTATCGGTCCACTTGAAATTTTGAATATAGCGTAACTTACTTTCTTGGCTCGATTCATCCAATGAATTTATGAAACCTATAAAAAGGTACAAACCGTTTCAGTTTTAGAAACAGTATCTAGTATTCTATTTGGAAAGTTTTCCAGATAATGACTTTTGCAGGTACCTGAATGAAACTCCTAACTCCTCTCCCTCTCTCACACCTCTTCCTAAAGTAACATAATCTGAAACATGTACACATTTAATGTATAAGACGTTAGAAAGACCACATACCACCCTTATGTTCTCACGTTTCTGAACCTCAGGCATGCCAAAGAACATAGCCCAAAAGACTATATTCGGATTTGAAAAGTTTCAGAATTAAATGTGAACTTCTGCACAGTCATCTTTTAAAAACTCCAAAGTTTGTATAAATAACTAACCTTGTAACAGTGAAAAATATGAATCTGCAGCGCCCTTCATCATTTCTGGGTTGCAGCTCAAATCCGTAAACAATTCAAGCAGCCGTGCCCTGGATGACCTCAGGTCGCTCATAGGAAACAAAGACAGTCAAGTTAGTAAGCCGCATGCCAACGAATCTTGAGTGGTCCAGATGGAGTATTTATTCATTGGTACTAGCTCCAAGGAGGCTTATTCCAACAAATATAGACGAACACTTAAGAACAGCTAACTAAAAATGGGCTGGGCTACCTCGGGAATTTGTCATTGTTAAGCTATTTAACTAGAAGCTGGGAAAAGTAATTCCTGGACTAGGAGGGCTAAGTAGGCGCTCAATTATCTGCAGCCCAACTTGTATAACGTTTCAGTCATCTTAAATGATAGAATTTGAGGAAAATGTACCTTAAAAATATCTAATTTAGGCTACTCATTCTATTGATGGATAATTTGACCCAAAGACGTTAAGAGACTTGCCCAATACTACAGATAAAATAGTTAATCTGGGACCAACCAGTAAAAGTCTAAGATCAGACTTGGCAAACTACAATGTATAACTTGTCTTTGTATGGCCCACAGTTTATTTTTGTAAAAATGAACAAAAGAGAATATGTACCAATGACTGTATGTAGCCCACAAAGCCTAAAATATTTGTTTACCCTCAACCTCTGGTCTAGATTAATAAGCCAGTTTTCCTACTTTTTGGCTCCAATTAACTCTTAATGTCATTTATAAGTCTGTAAAAGTCTAAGTTAGGGACAGTGTGTTACACACTTCTGGACTGCCCATGGGACCTAAATAAGTACCTGGTATCCAAAGGTGGCTCAATCAATACTTGTTGAGATTGACTACAACTTACCTGCAAATTTTTGAAGCAGCAGGACTAGTGACTACGCCATAGTAGTTAAAAGAAACGGGAGCTGTGGCTTTTAATGGGTTCCTATGAAACCAATGTGTCATTTTCTCGAGATGTTGCCTATAAACAAAAAAAGGCATAAAAGTTAAACAATGTAAATAGCATAAAAATAATTATTTTCAAAATAAAATATATACATTTTTATATAAAATATATGTAAAACATACATATATAAACAAAATGCTTCATTGCTATAAGTCAATCTTGTTTTGTCTATAGTAGTCTATGTTTAGATCAGGCCTATTAAATAATACCACCTGGACATCTGCCCACATTACTGCAATGTTAAATACACTGAAGCAGTAACACTTAAACTTCAATGTACATAAAATCATCTAAGCCCAGCTGGCGTGGCTCAGCGGTTGAGCATCGACCTATGATCCAGGAGATCCCGGTTCAATCCTGGGTCAGGGCACATGTCCAGGTTGCAGGTTCAATCCCCCAATAGGGGGCGTGCAGGAGGCAGCTGAGCAATGACCCTGTCTCATCTTTGATGTTTCTATCTCTCTCTCTCTCTCCCTGAAATCAATATATATTAAAGATAAATANGCAGGTTCAATCCCCCAATAGGGGGCGTGCAGGAGGCAGCTGAGCAATGATCCTGTCTCATCTTTGATGTTTCTATCTCTCTCTCTCCCTGAAATCAATATATATTAAAGATAAATAATAATATAAATAATAATATAAATAAATAAATATCAGTAGAGGGTGGCAAGGTCTTGTTAAAATGCAGGTTCTAATTCAACAGTCTGGGGTAGGACCTGAGATGCTGATGCTGCTGGTCCCCACACTACACTTTTGAGTAGCAAAGTCCTAGACTTTGGTTGGACAACTGTAAGTGAGAAGGCCACAGGACCAGGTGAATTGTCAAAACAGGTTTCAATGGTGCCCTTACTTACGACTGCTAAGCTTACTTAAGACAAATAGGTTTTAAATGAACTACATTTCCCACATGATACCTCTGGCATCAAATGACTGGTTATATAGCATGTGTTCTATAAATATATATACTTTCTACACAATAGCTAATAAAAATCAGTATCTTCATTATTAAAAGACAATACTTGATCAATAACTTCTATCCTTAAAAACCAAAAAATTAAAATATCTAAGTAAGTAAATGCCAACTAAAAAAAAAAATTAAGTTCCACACCTTTTAGGTTAAAAAAAAAACAAAACGGTGTATGTCACTTGCCTACAAGTCCTTGAGATTTTACAGGAAAGCCTAGCTGAAGACTTAAATGCGGCAGATTCCAGTGACAGACAAGAAATTCTGATAAGGTTTGATTAATCTCAAGGCATCATGTAATGTTGTGGATCAATTTTTCTTAATGGACAAAAACCCGTGGGCTACACAGGGTATAAGATACCTACTTTTAGCACCTCCCTTACCTATTTAATTATTCATTACAAAACCGGTTCTAGAGAGCGCCAGATATTTAATGAAGAGAAGATGCATTGTGTTCTCAATGAGAAACTGGGCGAATTCATTTATGACTCAAACATTTAACAAGCCCTGTAAAAATCAGTAATCATCTAGACATGAACCAGGCACGCCCCCTTCATAACCCAGGTGGAAATCGAGCCTTGCAGAGCTAATGGCACACAACCCACTCGATCTGGCGACAGCAGATTTCTCTACAAATAAGACTTTTATCTTCGTCCTGGATTCTCTGCCCTCTTGCCCTCTCTGAGGCCCAGCACCCCACTTTCCAGGAATTCGGGGGGGCGGGGGAACAGAGGGACGCCACGCCCACCCGCAGGTGCAAGGAGACCTTCAGAGTCACGAGCAGAACAGCGGGACCCAGGTTGCCATCTATCCCGCTCCCACGGGCGGAACCGATGACTCACCGGGGTCCCGCGCTCCAGGGACCCAGCCCACCCGAGCGGCGCCCGGAGCCCGGAGCCCGGAGCGCCCGCTTCCTGTTTACCTCCAGCCTCTTCCTCCCGGGCGCGGCGCGTCGCAGGCGGCGGCGGCCCCCCGCGCAGGCGCCGACCCCAGCNCCCAGCGCGCCCCTCTTTCCCAGCAGACATTTTTGTGGAAAACCGATAGGGCCCACGATCGCTAAACCAACCCCGGTTTCGCTAGAAGCGCCCCCCAATGCCAGCCGAGACGCGGGGCAAGGCGATCCCGCGCACCTGACGGTTAACACTGTTGACTCGCGGGGCCCAAGTGGATTGTCTCCTTTCCTTTGGTTTCAAGGTATTGAAAGGAGACTGTGGGGACCCCTATCCGGGAAGTCTAGGAGACTGTAAAAGGGGGGCGACCCCATTGTTTGGGACTCCGGGGAAGCGACAAGGGCAGGGGTGTTACTGGCAAGCGCCCGTCCCCTTGACACACTTACCGGGTTTCTCGGAGTCTGGACGGCAGGCCTCCGAAGGGGATAAAGGCAGAGTCCGAGCGGCCGGCGAGGAAGAGGGAGGCGGAGACCCCGCTCCCGAGCTAGAGCGACGCCAACTGGGCCTGCGCGGAGCCGGGGTCACCTGACCCGGCGGCCATGACAG